GTTACACAGGTGATAAAAGGGCTGAGAAGCTAACCTGGCTGATGAGGCAATCCAGAGATTCTTAATACTTGAAAGCTGCTATCGTCCTTAGGCTAAGGATGTTATCAGCCCCTGGGACTGGTTCTTACCCAGTGCAACCTGGGGCCAATGAGGAGAGGCATCTGTTACTAAGACACTGCCCGAGGCACACAGAGAGGAGAATAAAGTCTTGCCCCTTCCATCTGTCCCAATTTCTCTCATGCTTCTCAAAGGTAGAACCCAGCTGTAAGCCCCTGACAAGGGATCCTGGGAGACAAAGCCCATGGTGTGTGCGTGGAGGTGGGGGAGCGGGGAACGTCAATCCTCTTGCAGCATATCTCTGGAGAAAAGAGGGTACTAGACAGCAAGTGGGCAAATGGCTGACACAGTGACCTTTGAACAGATACCTTAAAAAACTCAGAGGAGTCATAAGCACATTTGGGGGAAAGGGCATTCTAGGCGAGGGAACAGCAAATACAAGGCTTGGAGGCAGGAGAATACCTGATATATCCAGGTAACAGGGAGGAGAAAGTTTGGCTGGAGAGAGGGAGAGTGAGAGGAAGGCAATGAAGCCAGAGCTCTAGATGGGAGTCACAGAATGTGCTGTTCTTTAGGCCAGCAGAGGAACATTGGCTTTTCCTTTGAGTCAGAAAAGAAGTCTTGAAAGGCCTTTGAGCAAAGAACTGACCTGATTTGACTTACTTATGCGCCACACTCTGGATCCTGTGTATAGAATAAATTATTAGAGGAAAGGGCAGGAATAGGGAGACCAGATAGGGAGACTCTTGTAATAATCCAAGCGAAAAATGGCTTGAACCAGAGAAGGAGAGTTGCAATGGGTGGAAAGTGATTGCATTCTATATGTATTTTAAAGGAAGAACCAGCAGAATTCACTGATGGTCTGGATGTGTGATGTGATAGAAGATAAGTCAAGGATGACTCCAAGAGTTTTGCTCTCAACAAAAACCTCTGAATCTCAGGAAGGGTGTCCTTAACTGAAGTGGGGAAATCAATAGGAGGGAACTACTTTTGGAGAGACTATCTGGTGCTTTCCCATTTTAGACCTGTGAAGTTCGAGATACCTACTATACAACCAATTGGAGATGCAGGAGTTTGGGGAGGTGTTTGGCCTGGAGATGTAAATTTGGGAGTATTGTCAGTATATAGATGGCATAAAAGTCATCAGACTGGTAAGATTGCCATGGAGTGAGAAGAGACCACAAAGAGATGTCCAAGGACTGAGTCTGGGGACTTCTATGTTTAGAGATCTGAGACTGAGACAGCTAGAAAGGTAGGAGAAGAAACAAGACAGTCTCTTAGCCCACAAGCCACGTGAAGGAAGTGTTTCAAGGATGAGAATGATCAACCTCTCCTCTGCTGCTAAGCCATAGGTGAGGTGAGGATGGGAACTGACCACTGAATTTAGCAAGGAGGCAGTCACTAAGGACGCTGAGAAGACCCGTTTCCCTGGAGTGGTGGGGGCGAAAGACTGCCCGGAGTGGATTCAAGAGAGTTGGAGATGAAGACATCCGGGCATCTGTGGAAAAACCTTTGAAGATTCCAGTGGTATATGAAGCAGAGGTCGACATGGTATCTAAGAAATGTTTTATTTATTTATTTTATGCCATGGCATATATTACAACACTCTTGTAAGCGCTTGAAAAATTTCCTGATGCTATAGAGAGGGAACCATTGCTGAATCTGTTCTTGAGTCAGAAGAAATGGGACAAGATGAATCTTCACTAAGAATGCTGAGAGTTCACCATAAGTGACAGGAGGACAGAAGAGAGTATGTAAACAGATGCAAGTAGGTTGGTGAAAGCTAGTATTTAGGTAGAGTACACCACATAAAGCTAAAACAATAAAACCCTTAAATTGAAACACCGGTGGATATAATTTAATCTTTGATGACATGGGGGCTTTTTGGTTCTTTCTAATAGTTAAGCATCATTTTTTTGAGTATTAGTAATGCCCTGTAGATGTATAGCCAGTAATAGGAAGTTCTGAACTGATAATAGGCTGGATAAACCAGATTTTAACATAAAACATGCGAATGTGAATTGATGCTTATAATATCAAAAAATATCAATTTTCCTTGCTTGATAGCCTTCTGTGTCAAAATTCATCCCATATTTGATATACTAGGGTATACCGTTGAGTAGAAGTGAATTATCAGAGAGAAATGAATTAAACAGTGCTTTAAAAAACTATGAAGCAAATAGGGAGGGAGTAACCTGGTAAATGGCTAGATGTTCTCCTTATCACTAGGAATGGTTACACATTCCTTGGGTGTGAGGGTGGAGATGAATAGGAGGCCAAGAAAGAGAGTTGGCAGGACGTGGGTTGAGACCTACTCTGTGCTTGGCAAACTCTCGATTCCTCATTTCCCTCTTCTGCAGCCCCTAGTCTGCAAATATGAAACCCTAGAAGGTCAGGGAGGCTGCAGAAGGAGTGTCTGACCTAGAGAATGCACAGTTAGAACCTTAGCTTTGCTGGATTTCGTCTTTTATTTCCTTCAGAAACATTGGTGAAAGTTCTGTCACCAGTGAAGGGTAAATAGTAGCCTAGGGCCTTGAAAGAGCAGTTTTTCCCTGGAACAATTTCTACTATTCTACTCTGCCTGAAGGTTAGGGAAGTTATTTTTGTAATTTGAGGCCAATACCCATCTCTTGAGCCTCATAAGAAGCACTGAATAAAGTTAATAGATTTGGCTAGCACTTGGGTCAATTATTTCAAGTGTATCAAATGGCTATCTGGGAATCGTAAAACAGGTGGCCCTGAAACTGTACTGTGTGGTGGATATAGATTGGCAGCCATCCTTTAAGGGCAAAACTTTGTTCAAAGTTGAGACAGAGCAAATGAACAGCAACTGATTTACAATGGTGTGAAAGATGGTGCCTTAAAACAGATCAACAGGCTTGGTGGTGATACTCCATTGTGTGTAAATTTTTGATATTAAAAATACCAGTCCGTGAATTTAAGGCTCACTTTTCCTTCCCTCCTTCTTTCTTTCCTTCCTTCCTACCGTCTTAAAGTTATTTTGGTGGGGGTGTGGAAGCATTTAGTTTGTGTGTTTGGTTTGAATTAGCATATTTATTAAATAATAAAGAATCTGTTTTGAATTAGTCTAAAAGCAAATCAGGAACAATGGATTCCCTTTGAATAACTGTAACATGGTCAATATTTTTGTTGTTTTTATACTTGAGACAGAACTTTAAAATCAACTTGTCAACATATAGCTAAACTTTATGAAACTGGACTACTATAAAATGAAACACTCATGTTTTTTATTCTGTTTGATGTAAATGGAAAATATCTCTTATTGGAAATTTTTATAGATCTAAGAGCTATAGAATTTTAAAGACATAATGACCTAACATCTGGGCTACCTCTCATTTTACAGATGAAGAATCAGAAAAATTAACTTTTTAAGGAGACTCAATTATTAGTGACACAGAAAAAACTCAAATACTAGTTTCTTGACTTTGTCTAGTGCTTTTTATCACTATATCACTAGGTTTCTAATATAACTTTCATTCACATAGCATTTAAGCTTGTACGTAGTTTAAGAGTTTTCATGAACTTTTTTAGGTTTCTAGATTTACAGGATTGAGTTGAATAATGGTTTTTGCATATTGACGTAAATAGAGAAAGAATCTATTTTTAAAACTGAGATATACTTCACATACCATGGAATCGATTTTTACTCATTCATTTTGAAATCTAAAGTTTAAACTCAACTTCTATTTACAGTGTCCGATCTCTCCCTTCCCCTCAAAGTCTCTACAATTAAAGGAAAACAACTGGGGGTGAGAAGATTTCATGTTCATCCTTAACAGCATTTTGGAGTAGGTCATTTGAAGAAGTTTAATGATTAAAAAAAAAAAAATGCCCTCCATGGTGATTAGGGTTTTTATGAGACAAAGATGGAGAAGAATTCTAACTATTAAAAACAGACACAGTCTGTATGAAAAGAAATGAGAGGATAGTTTAATAGCGTCAACAACGTAACTGGGGTGCAGAAATATAGTCTTAGCGTAAGTATTTTCCAGGGTAGGGTGAAAGGAAAGTATTGAGGACAAATACAGATTGTTGAGTTCATTTTCCCCCCAATAGACATTAAGTAAATACCTACTATGTACCAAGCCTGTGGAAGCTCTAAGAATACAAAGTTGAATCAGGCAGATTCTCAAGGAAACCAGTCTAGAGGTGGTGGTGGGGATGCAGCGGGGTGAGGGGGCGGGGGAAAGGAGACTGAGGGGGGTTATGGAGTGCGCGGGGGTTGAGGAATGACGTTAGCTGGGGAGTTCAAAAACTGAATACATAGTAGAAATTTGGGGGTACAGATATGCACAGGCTTCTCTGGCAGAAATCTGCCCCAGGACCTCTTAAAAAGACAATTAGCTTCGTTTGCCAAATTTAGCCAGATAGCATGACGCTGATGTTTACAGATATCCTCTCTGAAGAGGTTTAAAAATGCTCCCGCTTCTAGCCCTCGCTTTCTCCACCATTAGGGCGTCGGGCAAGGGAGGGGGCAGGTTGAAAACTGCACCCACGTTGGCTGTCTGTGCTCTCCGCAGGAGACAGGAATCCAGGGCTTTGCCGTCGTCATAGCAACTAGGAGTTCTGCTGTCCCCCCACCTTCCTCCGACTCCTTACACTTCCCCCGCCACTTGGGCAGAGCTGCCCTTATTCTCGCGAGATTTGAGCGCAGCGCCGAGCTACCCAGCGGTGATCTCACCGGAGACCGGGGGGAAGGAGGGAGGGAGTGAAGGAGGGGAAGGAATGGGGCGGGGAGGCGGGGAGGGGAGGGGACGGGAAGGGCGAGTGCGGCGCCTCCATCGCCGGCAACTTTGTGAGCGAGTTCAGTGCGTGCGTGAGCGAGTGAGCGAAAGTCAGTGCGGCGCCGAGTCCCCGGGAGGAGGGTACCCGGGGAGGGCCAGGTCTGGGATTCAGAGGCCACCCCCTGCCCGCCCCCCCGCCACTCCATCCCCTCCTGCCTCCGTGGCTTCCTCCTCCTTTCCTTCCCCTACCGATCCTCCCCAGCCTTCCCGCCCGGGGCTGCAGTTACCTGTCCCCTCCCCCACTCGGCACGCACCTCCCGATTCCCCGCCGCCCACCTCGGACCTCGGGACCCCCGATTTCTAGACGCTCAGCACTCGCTGCCTGCGCCGGCCGCCCCCTCAACTCTTTCTCCTGGGGGCAGGAGGGTGGGATGGGGGGCATTGAGCCTCGGAGGCGGCGCGAGCGGGGACCCGAGCGCCCAGACAATAGTTGATGCCCGGGGACCGGGGCATCTCCGCCCCCCATTCTGCTAGGAACGAGTTCCCCGCCGGCTGCTCTCGGGTGTGCATTCCGGGTTCCCCTTAAAGCCTGGCTCGGGAGTTGGACTGATTCACTATCGCCTTCACCGGGTCCCCCTTCGCTCGGCGCCCGCCCCGACCTCGCCGCCTGCCGTTCTCCGCAGAAGAGGCGGCGAGTGAGCGCGCGCCGACGGTCTACACGGTTTCTCTTTCTCCCCAGGGAGAGCGCGCGGCGGACGCACCCGGGACGCGCGGCCGCACCAAGAGGCTGGGCCCAGCGGTAAGTGGCTCCTGCGCCCCGGGGCCGGGCAGGGGAGCGGGGTTGCAGGACTGTTGACAGCCCCGGACCCCCTTTCTGGCGGGGGCTCGAGTCTAGGACTGGGAGTAGGACACCCGGAGGCCGGTCAAAGTTTTATTTCCGATTTGGTGGCGTGCTGATAGCGCAGCCCGGCGGGAGCGAGTCCGGGCTGCACCGCGCCGGGCGTGCGCGCACGCACCTTGGAATCCGAATCTGCACAACTGTCGGCCAGGCGCCTGTGGGGGAGGCTGGGAGACCCGCGCCCGGGTTGGGATGGCTGGGCCCACGCCGCTGCTCTCTTCTCCACACGACGACCCTTCCTTTTCAGTCACCTGGGTGAGCGCTTTGCAGGCTGAGCTGGAGAAGACAGGCCGAGAAGGTTTAATCGTGAGAAAGGAGAAGAGCAGCTTGGTGCCCGCGGGTGGTTAATTTCTTTCCGGGGGAGTCTGGGGAGTGAAATTCTGGGATGCTCTAACCTGCTGCAAGTAAACCGCAAGGGGGCTGGGGAGGCGTGAGGGTACTGCTAAAGGAACTTTTACTCCCTCGCTCCATCTGTTTCCAACTTCTTTCCTGACCTTAAAGAAATTTGCGAGGCTCCCTATCGCTCCATGGCATTTCTAGGAAGACAAGTAATCGTGGTGGGCAGGTTGAAATTTCATCGGGTTCCCTGTTTGGAAAACATAGAGACAAGGGAATTGGCTCACTTTCAAGGAAGATGTTTAATTGAGTTGTTGGTATTCGTTTCGAAAGGAAGCATTTCGAGACTGATGACCCCTAGACGGCATTTATCTTATAGATTTTATTTTTCCTGAGGGAAGGTAGCATTTATTGAAATTCTTACTACCTGCTAAACGATTATATTTCTAAACTGCAGCCAGTGATGCGATGCAAATTTCAGAGGAAAGGTGTTGACTTTCATCAGGTTCCAGGTCTATCTGGATGAACTGGGGTTGGCGTTTCCTCTATAAAGCAAACCTTTCATGTTGAAACTCTGACTCAGACTCTTAAGCCATTGTTTTTATACTGCTACTCTGTAGGAGTTAAGTGTCAACTTTCTCTTGTTTTTTCATATGGAATATTCGTCTAAGGTAAAGATTCTCTGATTTAATCTTTTGAAAAAGTACAAGGTTTAGTCCTATAATATTCTCTGCAGCCAGTTTAGTAACGGTATTAATTTTCTATATAATTTTGATTTAATGACTTTCACTTTTTCCTTTTCCTTTTTATGAAAGCTGCAATTAAGTCACTTTTACGAGGATTAAAAAAGCTGATGGGAGTAATATAGAACAGTGGTAACAGCAGTAATTTCAAGTAAAAGGTTTACGTAAAGCAGTTTATGGTCACTGATGTCTCTGACTATTAGATGACATACCGGTTATTAATGAGAATATTAATATTAAAACATTTTTTCCCATGGAATAAGTTATTTATACTAAAGCATTAGCAATTAGTGCATTTAAAATGACTTGGGTGGTGATTTGCACATAAATGGTTAGGAGCAAAATAAGAGATTTTGGGGGATTAATGGTTTCATGTGGCTATTTTCTTATCTCATTAGGCTTAAGTAAAGGACTTTTGAAGTTGACTGTATCATTAGATTTCTCTTGTTGACTGAGAGAACAAGTTTGGCAAGTGGCTCAAGACAGTCAGTAGGTGTTGCTGTTAGCTTCTCTGCTGTTCCTGGTACTGCTCTTTGAGTTTGAAATTGCAATTCTGGTGCAATCAACTTAGATCTGAAACATCAGGCAGTGTTGTGACTTTATCCTGGAATTCTGCGGCAAGGTTGACTTGAACTCTTGGTAATAATTCCAAAGCACCTCACTGAAATTGTATATTGAGATTTTTAAAACTATTCTTTACTTTTTTCGGGCTTTTGTATTTGCTTTTGCTTTGAATTAGGCATGTAATTTTGATGTAGCCCCCTCATTTTAAAGCATCTTTTTAAAAACTACCTTCTAGTAACTTCATTGAGGTCACAGATTGCAGATTGCTTGAGATTAGGAGTTTAGTAGACTTTGGGAGATCTCGGTTGACTATGAGTTGAGATAGGAGGTATATTTTTTAAAGTTTGCAGGTTGAACTTTTCAATAAATGACTGTCTTCTATCTCTTCGAGCTGTGAAACCAGGAGTATGAGAAGAGGCAGAACAGTATGAGTACAGATTCCATGAACCTTTCTGATTTAGGTGAAAGTATGTCATGATTAATGATAACATGATTCTCTGCTTCCTACAGGTCCTCACTGTCATGTTATCATTTCTGTTGGTCCATCCCAGTGCACATATGATGTATGAATAGTCTAAAGATTTTCTGATGACAGCTCAGATTTGAGCCTTTTGTTTCACTGACCAAATTGAACTTTCTCTGAGGAAGACAAATAAACTCGTTCCCATTAACGTAGAGTTAGAGCTCTGATATATAGCATGCTTCTTTTTTTCTTTTGACTAAAATCACAGTTCATATCTCAAATACAGACTTCCTCTCCCCATAATGTCATTATATCCCTAACCTTTGAGATTTGTATTGTTAAACAGGACGTATTGAGTGCCTCTACCTAGAAGGCATGCTGTTGGAGTCCGTGATTCCAATGGTGAGTTAAAGTATGCTCCTGGCCCCAAGGAGCTTAACCATCCACTGGGGCCATTTGTAGTAACCTTTCCTTGTTTGGTATTATGCACCCTGATGCCCCCATAAAGCTTTTGCATAGCAGGCAATTATTTTTGAATTTTAACTTAAATTAATTTTTGGAATAATTTAATAAATAATTTTAAAAGTTAATGTTTTAAAAAATAATAACTTTTGATATACTGAAATATGAACAAAGTATTCTCAGAAGGTCTGGGCTTCAAATTTTCCACCTCTGGGATCTTAAAAAAAAAAATTTGAACCTCTTTCTCAACTGTTTTTCTGAAAAACTATTTTTTGTAGAGATTAGCACAATACTTGCTTGCCTCACAGCTTTGCTGCAATAATTGAGACTATAAGTATGAAAGTACTTTGTAAACCATAAAGTCTTATTTGCAGTTGCATTTTCTTACTTCCTGATGAACAAATTCTTAGATTGTTGGAACTAGAAGGGTTTTTGAGCATAAATCATTTGGCTCATCTTCCTCATTTTACAGATGGGAAAACTGTAGCTGGGAAAGTTGAAGTGATTTGTTGGAGGTTATAGAACTAGTCAATGATCAGGCACTGATTGGTAGTCAGGTTTTCAGATTTAACTGTACTACTCTTTCCTGTTTTTTCTTCCTGCCTGAAAGTCTATTATGTTAAAATTTGTTACTACTTTTTTCCCCTTGTACCTAAGTGTTCAGTGTTCATTAAATATGCGAAACAAGAAGAAAAATTTAAGGAAACAAAATCTGCTTAAAGGTCAAAAAGTTATGAAAACAGTATTGTTTGGTAACTAAACTTTAGAGTTACTCATATTACAAAGTTATGGAAAAAGAAATCGTGTTATTTACCTGGTAGAGCCAGTAGTTTTTTTTTTTTTTTTTTTTAAATTCGTTAATTCAGAACATAATGTATTTGTATGCTCTTTAGAGAAGCCAAACTTAATTTATTCTAGTTTACCATTTTCTTCTTAAACTCATTTTTCATTTGCAAAAGAAGTGCTTGTACCTTCCTTATTTCTGGAACAGTGGCAACGTTTAGACCTTCTCTCAGCTACATGGAAGGGTCACCAGGGGCATCGGGGGTGGAGAGGATCAGTTAGGTGGAGGGATAACTGTGCAGAAATCAGGAAGATGTTGCAGGAGCTTTCCATTGAGAATGTTACTGATTACCTTCCACTGGCGTAATCTGAGTCAGGAGAGGAGAAACATTCCTGCCAGTTTGGTGACTGCCCTTTAGGTGAGGGGTTCTCCCTGTTCCAGGGAGAGGTAAGTGTTATGTTATTCCTTTAGTGCTCTCACAAAAATTTGTATCTGTTCCACATACAGTGCTGTTTAATATATGGGTGTTTCATTGTCACTTGAGATTGACAATCCAGCCTTCTATCCACCGCACTTCTACTTTTTTGGTATAAGAAATAAGTTGGCCTCATTGGATTTTTGCTTTTAGTTTTTTTCTATGCCTAGCTAATTAAAAACGAAACAGAACACTGATGTGGCACTTTGTTTTCCAAAGGTTTTACGTTGACCCTTGAACAGCACAGGTTGAACCACGTGGATCCATTTGTATGTAGATTTTTAAAAATAAATACTGTAAATGTATTTTTCTCTTTCTTATGATTTTCTTAGTAACATTTTTCTTTTCTCTAGCTTACTTTATTCCAGAATATAGTATAAAATACATATAACATACAAAATATGTCTTAATTGACTATAGTAACAGTAAGGCATCCAGTCAACAGTAAGCTATAACTAGTTAAATTTTTAGAGAGTGAAAAGTTATATTCAGATTTTCGCTACACAGGGTGTTGGTGCCCCTAACCACTTCTTTGTTCAAGGGTCAACTATATGTAAGTTAATTATTCTTAGATGACAGCTCATTTATTCTTTTGATAGGCTTTCGATGAGCTGTGGAGTGAGTCATAGAAACACGGGAAAGATTCCATTTTCTTAGGCTCTTTTAAACACAGATTTGAGTGAGGGATGGAATGACGTGAGTGTGATTGGTTTTGTGATCACGAGGGTAAGAAAATCCATTAGGTGTATCTTTTGAGGGTGAGGGTTAGTCCACCTTCATTTTCTCCTTTTGTTCTGGTCTGGGGAGAGTAAGGTGTCTCCAGCTGCAAAGAGAATGTGTGTTTTCTTGAAGGTCTAGAGAGATGACACCAAAAAGGCACAGGAGACTGTCAGGGGCTTCTTTTTTTTTTTTTTTAAATTTTGTTATTAGTTTCAAGTATACAGTGCATTGGTTAGACATTTCTATAGTTTATAAAATGATCCCCCTGATTGCTCTTTTTCTCCTCTGGCTCTGCACCTAGCCAGTACCTTACTGCTGACTGCATTCCCTATGCTGTACTCCCCATCCCTGTGA